CTCCCTATGATGGTGCATTGCACGTATTCACCTGATGCAATTTGTGTCCCTTGAATCTGTGACGTGTGGTGTGGTGTGATGAGGTGTGGTGAGGTGTGATGAGGTGTGGTGAGGTGTGGTGAGGTGTGGTCCATAGTGGACCGTATGCCGCGTGCCCGATGCTCCTTACGATGGTGCGTATGCTGCTATGTGTCTGAATCTGAACGGCTGCAATGCAATGAAGACCGTGATGCTCCCTTTCCGATGATGACGTGTGTTCACCTGATTCGCCTCGCCTAGAATGAAATGGCTGTAGTTATAAGGGGTCTGTGCTTCCTGCGTTTCATTCTGCTTGATATTCAGTGGTGGGTTGTGGTTTACTTTTGGAATTTCTCAGAGTGGTGTACTGTACTGTGTACAACCCTCTCTTTCCCACCCTTCCGCCCATGCATATCCTTTCAGATCTCTCCTTCTCCAATGTACCCACAGTGGCATATGAACTGCCAGACGGCCAGTGAGTGGTTGAATGGGATTGAGATGGGTGTCAACAGGTGTGTGGCTGGGTAAATTGTGAAGCAGTTCTGGGGTTAGGTGGGATGGTGGATTTGGGTCAATTGCTGAGTGGGATGCAGAGGGGTGGCACTATATGGTGGGGTTTGCTGAGTGGTTGAAGGGAGTGTGGAGAAACGGCATTTAAAGGTGGGGCCGGGTAGGTTGTAGAGGGATGGCAACACATGGTATGGCTGGTTTGGGCTGCTAGTCAATCCATCAACTAAATCCAACCCAACCCAACCAAATCCAACCCAACCCCTCTCCGCCCAGGGTACTGGAGGTGGGCAGCGACCGGTTCAAAGTGGCTGACGCACTCTTCAATCCAAGCCTGCTATCTGTGAGTGCTACCTTCCCCTGCTCCAGTGCCCACCTGCCTCAGTTGCCACCTGCCCAGTGCCCACCTGCCCCAGTGCCCACCTGCCCTCAGTGTACCATCGCCAGCCAAAGTAACCTGCCTCTACGCCCTACTCTTATACTCTCCCTTCTTCTACTCTGTCTCTCCCTTTCCATGCAGTCGATCTGCATCCGTTCATTGAAACGTTTTCGTAGGCTCCTTGAATATCCTTCTCTCGCTGCGCGCATTGAGGTGATTTTTGAGGTGCCTCAAAAATCACGTTTTCGTGGGCTCCTTGAATATCCTTCTCTCGCTGCGCGCCCCCGTATTCCTCATCCCCTCACTCGCCCATTTGCTCACTTCCTCATTCCCCTTACGCTCCCATTCCCCCGCTCTCCCACTCTACCACTGCCTTGCAGTCAATTTCTTCAGCCGACCCGTCCAGTGGCGGATGGACAGCAGAGGCCATTGCTGATGCGGCCAAGTCACCAGGGATAGCGAGAATGGTACGAGCTTGTGAGGAACTGTGGCAATGTGTTGCGCCTCTGTGCACTTCACCTCATGTGCTGTCAACCCGTCCGTTTCCCTCGTCATATGCCACTCTCACCTTCTGTTACCTTCCTACCTGCCTCTGCACTTTTTAATCTTCTTCTTGAGGTGCCTTTGGAAACAGTTTATTTGTTTCTACCTTCCCCTACCATCCTACCTAGTACCTACCCCGTACAGCATGTAGTATGGTGCAAATATTCCCCTTTTAATTCGAATATTTATTCCTCCATTCTTTCCCTCTTTCCAGGTGGTTGACAGCATCAGCAAGTGTGATGTGGATATTCGCAAGGACCTCTACAGCTCTGTGCTGGTGAGAGAATGGTGCAGGGGTGTGAGAGTGCCGATGCATGCCGGGGTGATGGAATGATGGTCCTCATAGCATGCTTGCTTGAGGGTGGTTGACAGCATCAGCAAGTGCGATGTGGATATTCGCAAGGACCCCTACACCTCTTTGCTGATGAGAGTCGTACGTGATTCTTGAAGAGGCATGGAAATGCTGGCATCAGGATTGAGTGCCATGTGGACACCCACAAAGACCTCTACAGCTCTGTGTTGTTGAGGGTCGTACCGGTTTTTGAGTCGACTCAAAAACGGACATCAGGATTGAGTGCCATGTGGACACCCACAAAGGCCTCTGCAGCTTTGTGTCGGTGAGGGTCTTGACCTCTACTGCTTATGGCTGCCAAAACCAGGTATCCTGCTTTTGGCAGCCATAAGCAGGTTTTCGCAGGTTTTGACTTGTTTCTTCTTCTCGCTCCCTATCCTGCTCCTTTGACCTTGAAAATTAGAGTTATGTTCCCTAACCATGTGTGTGCCGATGTGATTCTGGCAGTTGTCTGGAGGCACAATGGCCATGCAGCAGATAAAGGAGCGCCTGGAGAAAGAGCTCATGGCGGTGAGTCACCCCATAGCACCCCCGCCCCCCCTCCCTTCCACCCTTTGTTGATACGACTCAAACTTCACCTCTGGAGGCACGATGGCCATGCAGCAGATCAAAGAGCGCCTGGAGAAAGTGCTCATGGCGGTGAGTCACCGCCTAGCAACCAAGATGTTGATTCTCTCCCCTCCCCTCTCCCTCCCCCTTATTTGTGGCACATCTGAAACAGTGGCTTCTGCCACCGTGAGTAGTTTTATCCTGTAACAATTGTTTTGTGGGTCGTGACTCGTGTTCCTGTTGATTGCTTATGATTGCCTATTTATCTGTAAGAAGTGCCCACTTCGCCTCGCTATGGTCTTTTTCTCTGTGTCTAACCCTCTGCAGGAGGCGCCGCAAACAGCGAAAGTGAAGGTTTTGGCAAGCGGCAATGTTATGGAAAGGAAGTTCAGGTACTGTACAATTGCACATAATATCCTTCATCGTTCTCTCAAGCGTTTGCTAATGTATTGAACCATGTCCACATGGTTTGTGCTGATGTAACAGTGTATGGATTGGAGGTAGCATCCTCGCTTCCCTGGGTTCGTTTCAACAAATGTGGCTCTCCAAGGCTGAGTGAGTGGTTCAGAGTGTGTTGTACCAACCAAGGCTCAGCGGACTGCATATTTAGTTTGAAGAGTTTTGTATCGTATTAACCTCTTTGATTCGCCTTTGCAGGTATGAGGAGCATGGAGCTGCATATGTGCATCGCAAATGCCCATAGATTCATATGACAAATATACCCTTGTTTACCAACGACTCGCCTAACATCTTATGAATGTCTGTATGGACTCGCGTTGCAACGAGTAGCTTTTAGCGAAATCGCAATCTTCAAGGGGTGTTGGTAGCAACTGACCAATGACGTGCAAGTTGGGTGTCCCGCCAATTTCCGTCAGTCAATGCACGGCTAAGTTCCGCAAGCGGGGAGAGACTTCCGCTCCCGCCAATCCCCATTGGCCCAGCACAGTGGGCTTCCGCCTGACAGATCCATGCCACCCTCAACCACGACCTCCGCCCCACTCCACTTGCCCTCCGCCGCCTTCCGCCGTATTGCGCCCATCTTTCGAGTCCGAACGCAGTACTGTACAGTTGTTCCAGGGACCAGGTTGACTGGAGTTGCCCCCTGACGAACAAGTACTGCAGCCTGAATTTCTCGGCCTCCAGCCTCTTCTGTGCTATGCAATCTATCAGCTTTCGGGAATCGGGAACTGTAGGACGTGACGTGACTCTCTGAAGGGCTCAGTTAGTAGTTGTGGTTGTGGTTCTCTAGGTCCTCCGTTTGGCTGCTGGGAGCGAAACGGTGTGATAGTCTGACTAACTGACCGACTGACTACGCAGCTCTAGGCAGTCAATGACAGGCTTTTCTTGCTGTCTTACCGGTAGCTAGCGTGGTGGATCAGCTGGTGGAATTACACTTACTAGTAGTTCGATTTGACTCTTACAGAACTTTGCCGAAACCTCAGATTTCATAACCTGCTGGTGTTTGCGAGTATTCCATAGGCGGTTAGGCCGTGAAGAGTCATGGCGACAGTTTCGTTGCATGTTTACGACATCACGAACAGCCCGAATCCCAAGACGAACAACGCCATCCTGCAAATCAACAGGGTCACTAAAGACGCGCTGGGGATCGGCGGGATCTTCCATGGAGCTGTCGAGGTGCGCCTTGGTCATGACTGAGTCATGTTGTACAGGAGCTGTAATGGCCTAAGCTCGGAACTAGAGCCATAGGTGTAAAGGTGAATGTAATGGCGTAAACGTGGAAGCTGTGAAGGTGCGTCGTAATCTCTTGGTACGACCCAGCCTGAGCAAGGGAGCCATGTTTGCCGGAGATACGTTACGTCGGAGTCCTGAACAAGTTCTATTAGCTCGCATAGGGGAACCCGTCCAGTTGCGTAGAGCTCTATGAAGCACATAAGAATGCTTTGAGATCTCGTTTTTTATTGAACCTTAGAAGTGCGTTGTGATCGGCAATCGGAATCTGTCAATAAGTTCGTGTTTCTCAGGTTGTTGTCCATGAAGCCGTGAAAGTGCGTCGTGGTTTTCATGAACCGAACTTGGTAAAGATTTGTATTTCCCGCGGAGCCTTCTGTGGAGCCGTAGAGGATAGACAAGCGTTTTGGTGATTATACTTCCGATTGACTGTGGAGGTGTGCGTAGTTGCGCGTTGAAAACTGATCGGGTTAACGTTGACTGAAGATGTCTCTCCAATTTTGTGAGCATATTCTTACGCGTTTGAGCGAATACGAACGTAGTGCGTGGAGCGAAAAATAGAGGTCTTAGGTTCGTCCTTCTGTTTATAAAGGGCTCTATCCATATTACTATCTCTCAGTTCCCCGTTCTGCACGACCTGCATTTATACTCTGTCTCCCGTTATTGCGTTTCCCTATTACGTGTCATCTTCGTCGCTTTTCTCTTCTCACACTTGTCTCCTTGCTTGTCTCGACACTTGTTTCCCATCATACCTATCGCTCTCCTTCACGCCAGGTTTATGGCGAGGAGTGGTCGTTTGGCTACTGCGAGCGAGGGTCAGGGGTGTTCAGCTGTCCGCCTAAGGGGAACCCCATGTACACATTCAGGGAGACGATAGAGATGGGTGTCACAGGCATGGGGTAGAAGAAAGTAGGCGAGCTGCTCCGGAGATTGAGTAAAGAATGGCCAGGACACTCCTACGACATGCTGGCGCTCAATTGCAACCACTTTTGCGACGAATTTTGCCAAGCGCTAGGTGTTGGCCCCACTCCAGGTGTGTGCGTGATTGGAGATGGATTGATCCAGGTGTGAACTTTGAGGTATCGGTGGAAGCATGGCATCTTGGACGGTTAAGTGATCGTGTGCTTTCCGATGTTCAGATATTTTGCGAATTAGTCGTGCTAATTATTATTATCTCCATGCTTTTTTTCTGTGACACTGTGGTGTTGTGTTCGCTTGTGGCACTCTGCAGTGTGGGTCAACCGCTTTGCGTATGCTGGAGATGTGACGTTGGAATTCTATGATCAAGCATCAACTCAGGTTTGTTCAACTTCGCTTAAGGCGCCTCTGGTCATGCTCCACATGCTTTGTGTCCGACGCAACCCGTGCTTCTGGATCTCTATCTACGATATTTTCTGTGTCAAGCAATCAATAACTTCCGCTTCATCCTCCACATTCTCTGTTTTTGTTGTTTCATGTTTCACCTCCCCCTCATCAATTCTCCACTTCCACCTCTCAGCTGTCTCAATTTCGTGATTCAGTGTCCCAACTCAGCACCAGCACCTACTATTATCTCTTTGGCCCACCACAAGCGCCACCACTCACTGCATCTGCATCCTTCCCAGCCGTGTCCTCTGCTGCTATGAATGGGGAAACTCGAGTGCCTGTGTCAAAGAGCATGGGTGCAATGAGGGAACGGAAGGAAGGGGATGGATCCCCATTGCTCGCGGCAGATGGGAATAGAGAAGGCAATCGAGCATCCTTGCCTGTGTTCGCTACGGTGGAGGCCTCCTCAAGAGATCAAAGCTGACTGACAAGGAGAAGAGCTTGAGTTGCTGAAGGAGCTGAAATGACGCCACCAAGTCAATAATATTTGTTACGTACGGCTTGTCATATTCAGTGCTCTTTAAGTCTGAAATAAGTGCTTGTTGTACATTATTCTATTTTGCACGCAATATGGGCGAGCTCCATGTCGTAGTTTTCCCGCCACAAGGTTTTGACACTGACACTAGCCGCGAGTCTGCGACCTGTTCGCTTAGGGTGATGATGATTGGACCAGAAATGCGATCGGACGGTCCAAGTTTCTAGATTTCTTTCCCATGTCTGTTCATCAGCAACACCCTTCCGACCTAACTCCCATCATCGCCAACCATCATCATTGCCAACCATCATCAAATCCCAGAAGTCTGCCCATCTTCCCCGGAACGGTAACTAAGGAAATTCTTCACTTCTGAATCCATGACTCGGTCATTCCTGACGGAGTTTCTCACGGCGTGTGTGTGGCTTTGAACAGTTATTGACAGTCTTATATAGTGCTGCGGCTGGGAAACTGAAGCTGTAAACGGTGATTCGTCTCGTTACGCCACCTCCCAAAACCGCTTCGTCAAGCGACGCTACTTTCTCAACCTCTTTTTCCACAAAAGTCTTCGAATCGTGACAATCTAATAGTCTCCTGAATACGGCACCGACTATTTATAAGAGCAGCCCGTTGTTATCAGAATGCTCGGCGTGGAGTTTCTATTCGGGCTCAGTCAATCGAACAGTTCTTACTGGATCGGCCAATCGCCAGTCGCCAGCATCATTTGCCTGATTGCGGTGGTTCTCACGGTAGTAGGGTACGTTTCTGAGCGTAATCTTAAAGGACGATGGATAAGCCTCCGAGCCTAGCGCGCCTGGCTGAATTTCTCCACGCTCGCGACGTGAAACGTGTGTTCAGCTGTTACTAGCAATCGCATACGCTTCTGGAGACATTTCTAGACCCGGCAGGTTTCATCCGCTCTGCCAGCCTGTGAACTCTGGATTGACGCATTCCCTCGCGTCCGCCTCTTGCATCTAGTCCTCTCTGTGTCCATCTCCCACGTCTTTCTTCCCACTGGGAAGCTGTGACATTGTTCTCGTGGACTAGTGCTTGGTACGGATGGTTTCTGAAAAGACATAATACCAACTTATTGCATTTCGAAAGTTTTTCAAAACAAGTTTCATATAGGTGCCCTAGTTGTCATGTCATATGTCACGGCTCCGCGCGTCAAATAATGTTTATTTCGTTTTGATTCGCGGATGTTTATTTTCACCTTTGTTTCGGTAATGTTCTTGTATCAACCAATCCCTCTAACCCCCTCCTTCGTCCCCAGGGTGGTCTTCCAGCCTCGATGGGCCATCGCCATCAGCCGCCTCTTCCAGCCAGCAGTGTTGTTTGAAGTTGACACCGAAGGTAAGAGAACCCAACGATATTGCTTTTTTCCAGAGCCACTTCTGCCATCTGAAAATATATTAACATATGTATATGTTTTACCAGCTGCTTTTTCTTAGAGGTGCATGTGCTTACATTTTCCGAAGCTCTTATCTGTGCACTTGTCTAGAACGTTGCAATTTTCTCGTCTCTGTTCACTCCAGACTATTTTTTGCAAACTTGCTCCCTAAATTTTCCCTCTGCAATGTCTGCTCCTTCGAAATTCTCCCTGCTATAGTTTTCTCTTCCCCCGTTTCCTGGCGTATGGTTTATTGTCTCCTTCCTCCTAACATCGTCTGAACGCATTGAGAATCTTCAGCCTCACAATTGCCAGTGGATTGATCTAAATAATCACCCATGGTTTCGTTTCCCCTGTCACTCTACCACTTTTCTCCCCTGCCTGCCCTTTTCATTTTCTTAAATACGTGTCATGTGACAAGCAGCAATCAAATTGAGTTGTTCCACCCGTCGCCTCCTTTTCCTCGTCATGTGCTCCGTAACTCTCCTGCCTGCTCGTGCCATCCCGTCAGAGATGATTGTGGGCCTGAAAAACAACAAAGGATCGAGCCGTATGTCTCCGTTCTTTCTGTCTCCCCTCTCAGAACACCATTTCTACCCCCCTACCCGGCCTTCACCCTCCTCTCAGAGAAAATCGTCGGCCTCACAATCGACGATGGCCCTAATGGGAAATTCACCAGCGAGGTAAGCTTGCGTTCCCTTGTGCTGGCTATTGACTTTTGAGTTTACTCAAAAGTGAAATCGTGGGACTCACAAACGAGGATGGCCCTAACGCCAAATCAACCTTCACCCCATCAACATGCTCCTCCGCTTATCCGTGCCGCGGTGACTGAATAACCCCGGTCAAGCAGAATTGATTTGAGCCGTTTTTAATACGTCTCAGTTTCAGGCAGAATACACAGTGTCGTCATTTCATGTCCTCCCCCTGCCTCCCCCTACCCCTCTCCACCCGTCCCCACCCCTCTCCACCTGCTCTTTCGGATCAGACTCTGGATTTTTGCAAGGAGCACGAGTGTTCAGCCACCTCCCACCCCCTCCCTGCACCCATCCGTCTCCACCCAACTCCACCCATCCCCACCCCTCTCCACCCCTCCCCACTTGCTCTCATGAAACAGACCGGATATTCTCAAAGAGCATGGGTGTTCAGCCACCTTCTTTCTTATCGGGTCTAACATTGATAAATACCCTGACCTCGTGGAGCGCATGGTGCAAGACGGTATGTGGTGCGGTGCAGTGTGGTGCAGTGTGGTGTGGTGGAAGCTGCAATATGGTGGAAAATATCGAAGTTCTGTTTCCACTCGGAACAACCTGCTGCCTTCTTCCCAATGGCACCATGGCAGGGCATGACGTGGGTGGCCAATCACATTACAGAGATTCTAAGGTGCCCCATTTGTGTTGTCCGTGTTGCGACCCTCATTCATCATCCCCATGACACGATGGCATGGCAGGGCATGAAGTGGCGAATCACATGATGGCGGACTATCCAGGCTGCCTGCTCTCCACCGTACGTACCCCTCACTATGACGGGCTCACACTCATGTTCCCTTTTCTCCCGTATCACCATGGCTGGCAGGGCATGAAGTGGCGAATCACATGATGGCGGACTATCCAGGCTGCCTGCTCTCCACCGTACGTACCCCTCACTATGACGGGCTCACACTCATGTTCCCTTTTCTCCCGTATCACCATGGCTGGCAGGGCATGAAGTGGCGAATCACATGATGGCGGACTATCCAGGCTGCCTGCTCTCCACCGTACGTACCCCTCACTATGACGGGCTCACACTCATGTTCCCTTTTCTCCCGTATCACCATGGCTGGCAGGGCATGAAGTGGCGAATCACATGATGGCGGACTATCCAGGCTGCCTGCTCTCCACCGTACGTACCCCTCACTATGACGGGCTCACACTCATGTTCCCTTTTCTCCCGTATCACCATGGCTGGCAGGGCATGAAGTGGCGAATCACATGATGGCGGACTATCCAGGCTGCCTGCTCTCCACCGTACGTACCCCTCACTATGACGGGCTCACACTCATGTTCCCTTTTCTCCCGTATCACCATGGCTGGCAGGGCATGAAGTGGCCAATCACATGATGGCGGACTATCCAGGCTGCCTGCTCTCCACCGTACGTACCCCTCACTATGACGGGCTCACACTCATGTTCCCTTTTCTCCCGTATCACCATGGCTGGCAGGGCATGAAGTGGCGAATCACATGATGGCGGACTATCCAGGCTGCCTGCTCTCCACCGTACGTACCCCTCACTATGACGGGCTCACACTCATGTTCCCTTTTCTCCCGTATCACCATGGCTGGCAGGGCATGAAGTGGCGAATCACATGATGGCGGACTATCCAGGCTGCCTGCTCTCCACCGTACGTACCCCTCACTATGACGGGCTCACACTCATGTTCCCTTTTCTCCCGTATCACCATGGCTGGCAGGGCATGAAGTGGCGAATCACATGATGGCGGACTATCCAGGCTGCCTGCTCTCCACCGTACGTACCCCTCACTATGACGGGCTCACACTCATGTTCCCTTTTCTCCCGTATCACCATGGCTGGCAGGGCATGAAGTGGCGAATCACATGATGGCGGACTATCCAGGCTGCCTGCTCTCCACCGTACGTACCCCTCACTATGACGGGCTCACACTCATGTTCCCTTTTCTCCCGTATCACCATGGCTGGCAGGGCATGAAGTGGCCAATCACATGATGGCGGACTATCCAGGCTGCCTGCTCTCCACCGTACGTACCCCTCACTATGACGGGCTCACACTCATGTTCCCTTTTCTCCCGTATCACCATGGCTGGCAGGGCATGAAGTGGCGAATCACATGATGGCGGACTATCCAGGCTGCCTGCTCTCCACCGTACGTACCCCTCACTATGACGGGCTCACACTCATGTTCCCTTTTCTCCCGTATCACCATGGCTGGCAGGGCATGAAGTGGCCAATCACATGATGGCGGACTATCCAGGCTGCCTGCTCTCCACCGTACGTACCCCTCACTATGACGGGCTCACACTCATGTTCCCTTTTCTCCCGTATCACCATGGCTGGGAGGGCATGAAGTGGCCAATCACATGATGGCGGACTATCCAGGCTGCCTGCTCTCCACCGTACGTACCCCTCACTATGACGGGCTCACACTCATGTTCCCTTTTCTCCCGTATCACCATGGCTGGCAGGGCATGAAGTGGCCAATCACATGATGGCGGACTATCCAGGCTGCCTGCTCTCCACCGTACGTACCCCTCACTATGACGGGCTCACACTCATGTTCCCTTTTCTCCCGTATCACCATGGCTGGCAGGGCATGAAGTGGCGAATCACATGATGGCGGACTATCCAGGCTGCCTGCTCTCCACCGTATGTACCCCTCACTATGACGGGCTCACACTCATGTTCCCTTTTCTCCCGTATCACCATGGCTGGCAGGGCATGAAGTGGCGAATCACATGATGGCGGACTATCCAGGCTGCCTGCTCTCCACCGTACGTACCCCTCACTATGACGGGCTCACACTCATGTTCCCTTTTCTCCCGTATCACCA